CCCGGGGTTTTCCCTGGAATGGGTCGGGCAGGAGGAACGCGCACCTGGGTGCTGTGCCTTGAGGTGGGAACGTTCCCCATGGGCTGAGCTCCCCGGTGCTGAGGATTCGTATGGGGCTTTAGCACCTGCCTGGGCCCTGAAACTCATCCAGACAAGAGCTGGAAACTGCCAGTTGTTATCCCAGGCCTGCAATAATTTGGTACTTTAATCCCCCCAAATGTTTTTAGTGATAATATGGGGAAAGGAAGATGAAAAAGTCTCTGCTGTCTGGCAGAGCACAAAGCCCTATGTTACCAGCCCTCCCCGAAGGGAGCTGGCAGCAAAGCTTAGCTGTTTGAGTGCTTGAAAAAAATGTAACTGTAAATATAGAAGTAATTCCAGAGCTTCCCACGTCTCTGTTCAGGTGCCTGGATTTTGTGATGAGGGGCTTCATACGCGGATCCCGCACATGAGCGGCTTTGTCAGCTGCGATGTGTTTGTGGGATACAGAGCTGTCTATCGGATCAGCTTTGCCATGGCAGTGTTTTTCTTCGTATTCTCACTGATCATGATAGAAGTGAAAACAAGTAACGATCCAAGAGCCTCTGTGCACAACGGGTACGTCTGAGCCAGCTATCTTGTCTTCTAACTTGTTTCCCATTCTTCTCCTCTCCCAAGCTTCCTTGCAGAACACAGGGGCAAATTGCTCAAGGACAGTGCGAGATTTCTGCTGAACTGAACGCAAACTAATGCTTCAGTCTTATAGAAGACTTTCTCCTCATGTTACATGTGCAATGTACTGATAATGTGAGGATAGATGTTGTTGCTAATACTCTGAAATGTGGTAACCAAAAGTGGGGGGAGCTCTTGTTACCCACCTCTGATTACACAGAGATGATGATTGTTCAGCTGCTTTATCCTCTGTCTCATGCTGCCTGTAGCATTCACTGGGCCAGTCTGATTATCAAGCAGAAACAACCCACTGATTTAACTGGGTTGGTGTGGGGTCAGGTTACTAAATTATCATGGAATAAGGTTGAAGAATGTTTTTTGTCTTCTCCTTGTTGTCCTATTGAGCAGTTGGAGAGAGCAGTTGGATCTCCCTTGTCTCCTGCAGGCTGAACGGTGCTGAGGTGGCCTTCCTTGCTGCAAGGCTGTGCTCTTCACTCGTGTTCACTTTGTTGTCCAGCACAATCTGCTCTTTTTGCAGAGTGTCTTTCTAGCAAGTTAACTCCAGCCTGTCCTGCTGCATGGAATTATTCTGGGTTCTGGCCCAGGTGCAGGGCTGTGCATTTGCCTTTTTTGAACTTTGAGGTTTTTGTCAGTCCATTTCACAGTATTAACCAGGCCTCCCCTCAATTTGGTGAACATCTTTACCTGTAATCCCACTGAATCCCACTTCTTGCTTTATTTTTATCTGTGCAAAGCAAGCTGCTTGCAAATCATGTAAAACATACTCTGCACACAATAGCTAACATCAATGTTTTCCAATTTCTTTTAAAGGTTTTGGTTCTTCAAAATAGCTGCCATTGTGGGTATCATGGTTGGAGCTTTTTACATTCCTGAAGGACCTTTCACAAGAGGTGCAGTTAATACCTAATCATAGAATTCTGTTTAATAAACTCTTTTGTCCACTCTCCCCACCACAGACTACAGGCTGTAGGTTTAGTAGTGGAAAATTGCTTGCTTCGGCCTTACATCCTTTTGTAGAAAGATCTAAGGAAGGCTCTGAGTCTGTCCTATTTCTTTACAGTAGCTTGAGTCACCAGATATTTTGGTGATCAGCTGAAGTAATGCAGTTAAGCAATATATTTTCAAGGGTATGGGTGCTGTGCATCAATAACCCAGTACTCCATGACAGCCCTGAGTCTTCTGCCATTACATAGATTAGAGGCACCTTGGAGTATTGTCTGTGACGTGTGCTGGATACTCCCCAAAGTCTCTGAAACCCTTTGCAAGAAACTTTTACTGTTTAGCTAGGGAATTTTGTTGATTCTCAAGGAATCTAGAGAACTGTTTTGATCCTCAAAGAAATGCAGCATGAGGGTACTTTGGTAAACAAATATGTCTTGCATTGGGTCTTGAGTTAATTCTGAAAATATATTGGGCTCACGTTCTCCAGCATAAGCTGCCCCCATAAAGAAGCTGCATGCATCTGTAGGTTGGAAGCCAAAGTGAGTAATAGCATCTGTATTTCTAAGTATAGCTTCATTTCTTCATATTTTTTTTTATTATTGTTCTGCAGTATAATTGGAAGCTAATTCTTTCAGAGGTAGTATATGAATGCTGCAAGTTGACCCTGTTTTTCTTTCTGTCTTTTCTAGCCTGGTTTGTTATTGGTGTTTGTGGAGCCGCCTTCTTCATTCTTATCCAGCTAGTGCTTCTTGTGGAGTTTGCTCACTCCTGGAATGAAAGCTGGGTTGAGAGAGTGGAGGAGGGAAATTCCAAATGTTGGTATGCAGGTAGGAATCTTCAGCTGGAAAGATTTGTTTCTGCTGTCAGGTCTCTGCATAATAGCACTTACTGCTTTGAAAAGATGTCCTAGAATTACACTCTATAGCCTCCTTGAGTAAATATTTTGAATTAATAGCTGCAGTATTGCCCTGTTCTCATTAAAAAAAAAAAAAGAAAATATTCTAGACTTGTGACAGATCGTAATAAACAGCACCTAAACTTGTCTAGTTAGCATGTCTGTACTATGAGTGTGGAACTACTAGCCTAGAGCTCTTAAATTCTGACTGTACTTTGCCATTACCAAACTGACGTCCCTAGGCAGTTCATTATGTCAGTGCTAGTGTCCAACACAGCTCGCACACCTGAGCCAACCGTTGCAGATACAGAGTGCCAGGTCTTGGGGCTCTTTGTGCCTCACTGAGTGCCGCATCAGTGAACAAAGAACACAGCAGAATGGAGACGAAAATAGGTGGCCTGTAGTGTAGAAATTCAGGGATTGTAAATATCCCATTAAAGTGTGGAAAAAAAGCCCTCGGTTAAGGCACTGTGTGTCAAATTGACACTGTGACAATATATTTAACCCAGTTAAACTGCAGCTGAAACATAGCTGTTATTCCTCACATGTTCCTCTAAACTAGAGTACCTAATGAGCCAAACCAGAAAATTAGCCTAATAATACTAATAAGAACACATTCTGCTAGTACAGCTTTCTGAAGCAGACTTTGAAGTGAGGAGAGGGGATTTCCCTTCACAGTACTGATTAACCATTAGATCACCTTAGATGTATTGTATTGGCAAATTACACTCTTACCATTTTTTTTTCCCCTCCAGCTCTTGTGTCCTGTACAAGCTTGTTCTATGCCTTGTCGCTGGTTTTTGTTGTGCTTTTCTATGTTTTCTACACAAAACCTGATGACTGCACTGAGAACAAGTTCTTCATAAGCATTAATATGATCCTGTGCATTGCTGTCTCCATTGTTTCTATCCTCCCGAAAGTTCAGGTATTGTTTTACTTTTTTTTTTTTTTTTTTTTTTGGAAATACAAAGCAAGGAAGTCGCTTGGTTCTACTGATTGACTCAGACATAAGAACTTTTAAGTTTGATTGTCATAGCTATGCTAACTAGAATTTTTTTAAAAATATTTTGTTCTGAAACCCATGCACTAGGAAGTGATGTGTTTCCTGTAGATAGACTTTTTTGGCTAATATTATGCCAATATAATGTATGGCCAACATTGGCTAGTATTATTCATGCTAGTAATTATTAAAGTCTGTAGCAATGGAGATTAAGTCCAATTTTGGATGAAACTTGCCCTTTTGACCTTGAATGGTCCTGTCTTGAACAGGAGCATCAGCCTCATTCTGGCCTCCTCCAGTCCTCTGTTATCACCCTCTACACAATGTATCTCACTTGGTCGGCCATGTCCAACGAGCCTGGTAAGCAGCTGGCTGTCCTGAGTCACATACTTTGGTGTGAAAGCAAAACCTGTTGCTGGGGCACCTGGTTATTAGAGATCACTGTGTGGGGATTGCTGCTCTTTTGTCTAGATACTTTCTAGTGAGAAAGGGTAAAGCTGATTCTACTAAAACCATCAAATTGCTTCTTTCCGTAAGTAAGCTGTGGCTGTCTGTGAGGGGAAAGGTAATAGTTTCAGGGTGTTATGATTGTTTTTGTAGTACACTGTTGCCTAACTCACAAAGGAGAAATATTCCATAGCAGTGCTGGCTCTGGGGAATTAGAGAGAAACTTGCTTATCAGAGATACCATTTGCTGTAATGACTAATCTGTCATCTTTTCAACCTAAATGCTGTCAAAGTTCCTCTCCTTTGATGTGCCTCTAAATGCCTTTCAGAACGAAGCTGTAACCCAAGTTTGCTGAATCTCATCACACAGATAGCTACAACCACGCTTGTTCCAGCCAACACCACCTCTGAGCCCGCCACCGCGGCGCCGCCCAAATCCTTGCAGTGGTGGGATGCACAGAGTGTTGTTGGATTAGTCATCTTTGTGCTTTGCCTTCTCTATTCCAGGTGGGATCTGTATTGCTTACAAGTGATAAACAATTGGGATTTTTCTGCCTCTTCCACTTGGATCTGAGTGCAAGGCAAAATGTAACTATATTCACTTGTGTGCAGCTTAGGTGGTCTCAGATCCAAATCAAAATATGGCAAATAAAACTGTATTCTATTTTGTGGATGAGTGTTGGCTTTATTAGCCCAATTCAGATAAAATATGTTACGAGACTTGGACTGGAAACGCTGCTTTGTTAGGTTAAAGAAAGCTCAGATGTAAACAGAGCCCTTTAAGGGGCGTCCTTACCTTTCCAGATGATCACATGAATGTCTGGGACAAATAATATTTTTGATCTGCTGTGTGACAACATGTGATAGCAAACATGTCTAACTCGAAAGTAAATTTGTAATCATACTTCTCTTTGGGTTACACTGCAGCATCCGTTCTTCAAGTAACAGCCAGGTGAACAAGCTCACGCTGTCGGGCAGCGACAGCACCATCCTGGAGGAGAGCGCGGGCGCGGGCAGCGGCGCCGCGGAGGAGGGCAGCGTGCGCCGCGTCGTGGACAACGAGAAGGAGGGCGTGCAGTACAGCTACGCCTTCTTCCACTTCATGCTCTTCCTCGCCTCTCTTTACATTATGATGACGCTCACAAACTGGTACAGGTAAGAACAAGAGGGAAAGTGAGGGGCTGGCTGTGCTGCTAGCTGGTATTTTGGGGTAGCTAGGCAGCTCCTGCTCTGTAGTCTGTACAAGCAGGTTAAGGTACTGTTCCTAAGGCAGTTGTATAGTATTTTGGCTCTCTGTGTAGGAAGATGTATGTGAAATTGGCTTGAGGTGGCCTCCTGGGATGTTTCTATGTGCTTCTCGGAGAGACACGTCCATGGGGAGCGTTTGCACACATGCTCCACTGCTGCAGCTTGTATCAGCTTTCCCCAGGCTTGGGGAATTGGCTGCCGTGTGAATAGCTGCTGCTCTGTGAGTGTATTTGCTATTGGGAATCTAAACTGTTGCCTACGGTAGTGAAAGGTTTCTTTTAAGAGTAGCACATCAACATAGACAAGGTGGTTTGTTCTGAAAAGCTGAGTAGCAAGAGGTCTAAAAGGAGCCTCAGGAAGTTGCTCATTTAGTTGTTTCACCATCTTCCCAGAAGCATAGTGGTGTGTCCCAAACAATTATCCTAATTTCACATGGGTTTCAGCAGTAGCAAAGCAGTGCGGATGGTGTCTCAACTATCTAATAATTGATTTCTTTACTTTCTAGCCCTGATGCAGATTTTAAAACAATGACAAGTAAGTGGCCAGCTGTGTGGGTGAAGATAGCCTCCAGCTGGGTCTGCCTCCTTCTCTATCTTTGGACCTTGGTGGCTCCTCTTGTTCTTACTAATCGGGACTTCAGTTAAATGGCTGAACCTCTCAGCACACAACAGTGGGGAACTTTTTTGCTAAAAGCCAAAATGGTCATGTATTGCTTTAGTCAAGGCAAATACTGTCTTTTCTTATGTTCATATTAACATGTAGGTGAATAGAAAGTTAAGGAATTGCACAATGCTTGATGCAGGAACAAAATTATTATCAATTATCTTTGTTATCCTTCAGCCATGGTTACTGTGTTACTGCATTTTTAAAATTCACTACTGTGCTGTTGAAGCACAACCCCCTACCTTGTCTAATAGCCCCAACCTTAACATTGAAGTAACATTTAGCTAAATACAAAGTAATATATTTTAAAGAACAAGCTATATTCAGCATAATGCACTGTTGTACTAATGCTTCAGTTACTGGAATTGTAAGCCATATTAATTTCTACATTCCACTGCAAAAAGCTTATTTAAAGGAGATTTATCTTTCTGTTTTATGGCAAAAAAGACCTTTTATTCCTCACCAAAAGAACACAACTTTAAGGCTGAAAAGCTGTTAACTGTAGTTCATCTTGTTAAGAACAAAGTTGGCATTTTTAAGGCCCAACTTCTATGGGTAACTACTTTAGTACGTTTGCCAAATATTAAGCAGTAAGTGTATGACTAGCTTAACTTCATGATTATGATGGAAAAATGGAACTCCTAGTTAATTTTCACGTACCTGGTGTGTTTGTAATGCATATAAGTGATTAGTATTGGCACTAAAGCATTTGCACTGTAAACTCTTTTGAATAAAACAGACTAACTACTGAAACAGTCTTATGTCTGTTGAGAAGTGTTAAGGAGTGTTAACCAGGGTGGTTATTCTGCAATGCAAGATGTGACATAAAATGCTGATAAACCTTGAAGTGGCAGTTGTCCTGACAAGATATATTTTTTCCATGCAGCAAATACCACATAATGTCAGTGCTACATTTCTTTTGAAACAAACTGCATCCTCCATAAGTATCTCTGAAGGTTGAATCTAAATTCTTGAAGTTCTTCAGCTAGTTAGATTACATCACACCTTTTTTAACATAAGGTTTAAATGTGTTTAGTTATATAGAGTACTAAGTATATGCTTCTATCTACTCTTACAGTAAATACCATAAGAGAAAGCACAAGGTAAACATATTTAAAGTATCAAATGAGCAGCTGTTACAATAGTGTTTAATCATGCATCATAAAAGTACACATTTTGACCACTCTTATATAAAATGCAATATAAAAATAAATTTTGTCAAAATAAGACGTACACTTAACCCAACACCTTTAGGCGTACATACAACTGAAAGCAAAATTATTAGCTTGAACAATGCTATAATTAACTCATGCCAGAATGAAAAAAAAAAAAAAAAAGTCACCCACTCTCCTAAAAATACCTCAGGGTTTGTAACACCCATTTGTAACAGTATAAATTCAAGTACGTTTATTTATAAGATGCAGCGACGTTTTGTCCCATGTAATGCAAAAAGCCTTGGCTACCCAATGACCTTTGAGTATCTTCCCTTATGTGTTGAATTTGGCAGGAATGGCTTGAGTACTAGGCAAAAGCTTGCAGCCTCTGGAAAGTTAAAGTTTAAGTGGAAAAAAAAAAACCCATTAGTATCAGTTTCAGTGCTGTGAGGGGGGCAGGGGGAAAAGCTGTAAGCTGAATAGCTTTTCCTGTCTCCTCTCTTACCTTCCACACAAGGAGACATTCTACCTACAATTGGTTTTTATTTTTCAAGTGCTGACATGAGATGTTTTGGGACAAAACTAATTTCTCTGCTAGTGCCAAAGCTCGAAGAGCTCTTTCAGCTCAGAACTCAGGTGCAGGTAAGACAGAGCTGTGCTTGCTGTAAGACAAGCTAAATATCCCTTAAAAATCTAGAAAGGGTTAGAGATTCAGCTGACTAGAACTTAAGCAGACAAAGCAGCATTTTTAAAGTCAAAAAGGGCAAGTCTAGAAGTAATATTAAAGTGATTGATACAGCTAAACCTCATCTAGTTTTAGCATCCTGGCATCAACTGCAAAGCATCTAGCTTCCAGAACATCTTTTTCTTAAGGTAACACAGGCTATTTTCAACTTGAATAACATACACGTGTCTGTTCTTTTTAGGAATAAATTTTCTCTGTGAGCAGGAGAGAAAGTGAGGTAAATAGATCTAGGCTGCCAATCCTTTCAGGCATGAAAGGGAATGTAAAAGCCTGAAAAAAGGCCTGGTGGCTGTGGAAGTTGCTGAGGTGGAGCCTCCTCCTAAACACTTGTGGATTTTTCTCTTGTTAAAGATACTAAATTGAATTTTGAATATTCAACCTCCAGCAGTAGTTACCTTAAGGGCATCAAGTAGCTGTATGGGTAGGTGAGCTGTCAAAATATCACTTCAAACCCTGCACCAAAGTTAATGAAGGAATATCAAATACCAGTCACACCTTCACCTCTGGAAAAGTGTTTCATCCCGCTTGTACAATTTTAAAATAGTGGATGGAATTAATAGGCACTCAAGTATAAATATTGGTCTCTGTGTTCTAGCAGCTCAATAGCCTTGGTGACCACTTGCATTTCTTAAGTCCCGGTGCTTTGTGCTCATGTCTTGCTAGGTGGTACAAAACAATTGCTGCAAAGCACGCAGCGGACTTTGGTCAGAAATGAAGAGGAATTGGCTAACAGTGCATTTCTGCCCGGTTTGAAGTAGCAGAAAATGATATGCTTTTTTCCTGCTTTTAAGGTAATAGCTGTAAGAAGAGTCATACTTGATTTACAAAGGTAGCAAAAAAATCAGATGCCTAAAGTAAGGAAAAATTCTTCTTATCTATGTTCTAAAACAGTTTAAGTAAGTGATGAGCTTTTTGCTCCCATTGAAACTGTGAATTGCTATCCAGGGGAAAGCTTCATGCCTGACTTTTTTCAAAACCCTTTTATAAACTTCTTTTATCATGCTTGGCTGGCAGGCCTGGCATCTGCCATGCCCCTGTTGCAAGCTGAGGTCTGCTGCCAGGTCAGGAAGTCATTACTGGTGGTAGAAGGGGTTTTTCTTTACTGCATCGTGCCTTAGAGGGACTGAGAGGAAAAGACATTCAAAAGAGTTTGGCACTTTGAAAAAGGAATGTCTCAGCTCCTCAAGATGCTAGAGGTTTGTTTTTTAGAGAACATACCTGGTACTTATATCATACTTTGTACTAAATAAGGACTTCAGTCAGAAAAAAAATTGCTCAGGAGAAGAGGTTTCCAATTAGAAGGGTGGTTCTCTTTCACCAGAGTGAAACATTTCACCTTGATATAGCTGAATGTGCTTTTCTTTCCTTGTGAGATTTCTCACCTATGCACTCATTTAGTGCAGAAATATGTGCAAAGAGTGTGCCAAGAGGTTAACTTCTAACTCAGGACCAGTAAACAGAATGAACTTTGGAAGAGGGAGCAGCTTATTCAGACATAGGATTTCTTACCCTGATTTGACAGTGTAGTCTTGGTTCTGGCTCTAGACAAGGACCTAAAAGCACAGACACACAAGCTGTGGGTAAATATTAGAGATGGCTAAGGTCTAACTTCATAGGGGAATATAACAACCAGAGACAAAAGGGGTCAACAAAGCTGAAATCAAAGTTGTAACATTTCACAAAAGAGCAGACAAGCACAGCGAACAAAATGCTACCATAGCAGGACGTCTATGAATGTGCTTTCAAATACCCTGTCTGCATTTGATTTCACAGACTTGGATTCAAATTCTGCCAAAGTAACAAGCTAAAGCAGCACCTTGCTTTCTTATATGAAATGTTGCCTTCTATATATTACTGAAGCTGCTACAAAGCTTCCTTACAAATTCTACCTATGAATTGCTTACTGAGTTCCTTATCACAACCAGCTGAAGGAAAGAACTGATAATGTGACTGACAGCTTTTTATTTTTCAGTTCTGAACCTCAGAATTTGAAACTGTGTCTAATCAAAAAGCCTTAGCACTTAATCTGAAAAACTTACTCTTTTCTGAAAATGGAGATTGCATCTCTTTATACTAAGCTTTGATATAAATGTTGCAATACTTAGTCCACTGGGTATATGGGTATTTTACCTACTGGGAGGAAGTATCATAGAAAACCTCCATTCTGACATTCACTTGCTCTGTATTAATATGAACCAAAATTAATTTGAACATTCCTGAAAAGCCAATCACAATCTAGATCAAGTGTCAGAGCACAGACTACTTTAACAATCTCCAGTGACAGAATTACATTTTGCAAGGTGCAAAAGCTGTTCTCTTGTCTTAGCTTATCTTGTTTTCAGAAGGGAAATGGAAGAGATGATCACCAAGCTAGTAAATCACTGTTATTTTTCACCTGTGAGCAAGGGAAGATGGGAGTGGAGACACTACCAAGTTTATCCTACTACAGTTTTTTTTTTGTCTTTATCAAGAGGAAGAGTATGCCAGTTTGCATCATTCACACAGAGGCTAATGAACCTTAAGTATTCTAGATAACTTGGCAGCTATGTGCTCTTTGCCTCTCTCCTCTGCAAACTCTGCCTTGCCCCCACTGTGCCCTCTTCAGCTTCCTTTGGTTTGACAGTGTAAAGTGCCTCAGCAGTCTGTTCCTAAACCTGCAGGTTTAGGAGTAAGGCAGAGTATGCCAGTTTGCATCATTCACACAGAGGCTAATGAACCTTAAGTATTCTAGATAACTTGGCAGCTATGTGCTCTTTGCCTCTCTCCTCTGCAAACTCTGCCTTGCCCCCACTGTGCCCTCTTCAGCTTCCTTTGGTTTGACAGTGTAAAGTGCCTCAGCAGTCTGTTCCTAAACCTGCAGGTTTAGGAGTAAGGCAGAGTTCACAACATCACTTATCAGAGTACAAGAGGTCTTAACTATGCTGGGAAGCCTCCCTTCACTGGCTGGTTAATAACAGTAATAGAGCTGAGGCTTCATGCCTCGCAGAGAATCATCACATTGCTTTTCATCAGCATCCCCACTCACTAGTGTGCCATGGGGAGAGCTGTCACAGGGGAGAAGCAGCTGCGAGAAATCATGGAGAAAATCCTCCTCGGAGGCTAGCAGCAACTCATTCCATGCTGAGATGTCCAGCTTTCCTGCAGTACCACCGTACTCTTCAGGAAGGATGACTGGAGGAATGTTTTGATGAAGGGAATTCAGATCACAGCCATGAAGGAAAAACTGAAGAAGAAAGTCAACAAAAGGTTTAATAGGGTATATAAAATGTTTTACAGTATATTACTAAAACGGCCAATGGCTTATTTGGGGTTAAAGAACAAGTGTAAAAATGATGCCTTTGTGTGTGCAGGTGGAGTTAGACACATCTTGGAGGGGAAACCTTGAGACATTCCAAGTCTAGTGCAGCTGAAAACCCCAAAAGAGAGAATCTAGATTTGCTGTTCTGTGCAGAGCTTCTGACTTCAGCTTGTATCCCGTTCCTTCATGGGGTTGGAAGTACTTAACAGAGGGGCAAAAGGAGTTTATCCATTGATGGTTCAATGGATTAATGCATTGAATTGAATGGATTCAATAGTATCCCTAGTATTCATGGTGCCCTGGATATTAGAAGAA